TCCCCATTTATCTCCCCACGTGAGTTTTCGCGCTGCTGGGTTGGCAGGAGCTGGGGTGGAAGCGGGAGCTCGCTCTGCTGCATGGAGCTGGGCTCAAACCGCTGAAGTGTCGATTATTTCTGGCCGGAAACTTTCAGTGTCATTAAGCCGCTGTGCCACCGCGTCCCTCATTTAAAGATTAACCAAGATCAAATGTATGAAGCACCTGTAATCATAGTCACCAGAATTAGGCCAGTACCAGCATTATTTGAAGAACTGCCTTTTCCCAGTTCCATCTGCCTGACCCACCAGATCGGGGGGAGGCAGGGTATGTTATGGGTCCCCTCTATTAAGGAAGTCTGTCTGCTGGAACCAAGAAGAAGGGCCTTCTCCATGTTGGCTTTCTCCCTGTGGAACATCATCCTTGCAGAGATAAGACTGGCCCCCACCTTGATGCTCTTCCGCAAAGCCCTGAAGACACGGTTGTGCCAGTGGGCCTGAGGATCCCAGGTTGTCCCGGAGTCCATCAAATGGCTAGTGTAAATCTATTGTTGTCACCTGGGGGGGGGGGTGGAGTGGATTTTGTATTGGGATTTTTATTTTTGTAAGCCACCCAGAGTCACCATGAGTGAGTTGGGTGGCCATATAAATTGTTTAAATAAATAAAATAAATAAATTATGCCTCTACTGAAGATTCAATGGAAAGTCTTTTCTCTATGGCATGTATGAATGGTCGGCTATTTAGAACATATAAAAGATCTTTTTCTATAGCTGTTCCATATTCCTAGGTCTATAGCATCTTCAAGAGTCATCCAATCATCACTGTGCCAAAATAACAGTCATGTGGATATACTTTATATCACTTCAACAGTAGTTGGGTGATGCTATGAAGATGCCATAAGCCACTAGTGTGGAAATAACTATGGAAGAATTTCCTAAAGGGAATTCATTTTGCCACCTCTCTTTTTAATTTCCATTATCAGGTAAAACAGCTTTGTTCAGATTCAGAAGCATTATCATGAGTTATGTTTCCATTCTGATATTTTAAGCAGCTTTAATTATGTGCAGTGATATGTCCATGTTTTGATTTTGCTATAGTTTTCATAGGAATTGCTTTTCACTGTATTTTTTAATTGTTCATTGTTCTATTACATGTTATAATACCTTATGAGCTTTACTTAGGTAAGTAGAAATACTGAATATGAAGAAATAAATACATAAATAAACCATGGCACATTATAAGAAATTTTATTGGATTTCATGAAGCTGATCTCTCTCTCTGAATTTGCAGCCGAGGATTAATTCAAAACTAGAGTCCATAGGGAGTATTCTCTCTACTAGATAAGATTTATTCTTAAACTGGGGAGGGGGCATATATCAATTTCTTACTAAAATATGGAATTTGGAATGAAATATCAATGATATTGTGATTGATCACTTCAGAGGTGGTCTAACAATTTCATACAAACAGTTTGTTAGGGCTGTGCGGTGCTTCAGAAATAATTTGAAAAAGGCACTTTGGAGCATGTGGGCTATGAATGTAACCAGTCTGTAGCTCTTTAAAGCAGCCATACAGTCCTGGGAAAAGACATGATGGTTTTAAGGAACTGCAGACAGGTGTTATACTTTTACTCCCATGTGGTCTGAAGCACCACATCCTAATCCTGTTTACAGATCATCCATGATTTTTTTTTTAAGGAATGTTCAAATTAATTAATAATATGTAGTGAAAACCATGAATTTTGATTGACTCATGCAGTGGCCTGGTGTTAACCTTTATTGGAAAAAGATAACACCATGTACAGCAGTGTAACATTTAGCAATACAGCACCACAGTACTATTTTGAATGTACATTAATCCAAGTTTTATTCTTATAAATAGGAAACTGAGGAAAAAAGAGGCCAAATTTAGTTCTGTCTCAGAATTGTGTTACTTCTCTCATATCTTTTGTAGTTACTGCTGCATTCTCCATAATTTCTGAAGTGGAGAGGAACTTTTGTACTCATGGATGTTCCCATACGGTTTAGAAATCTGACTGATTATGTCCTAAGTCACCCAAGCGTCTCTCAAAAAGGTAGAGAAGTCACTGCAGAAATGATGTTGAAACCTTTAGGAGGGAATACTAAAAAACCTGGCATTTTTTAAATGAATGATGTCAGCTATTATTCTCCAGGTTGAGACCATGTGGTGTTAAATTCTGAAGAGTGACATCAAGACATTTGAAAGGAGGTGCAGGTTAAATGACTTCTTCCATGATGACTTCAAGATGACATGGACATTTGCAAGACAGATTCTCTCCTACAGTTTCTACAGCAAAAATTGGATACTAGATATAAAAAAAAAAATCCACTCTTGGAAAGCCTTTTTTTATCAATAAATAAAACCATTAGGAATTACATACCAGCATCTACTTATGTCAGTTTAAAAGGGGGAAAAAATGCTCCAAGCGTTGCCCTGTATGAAGGCATATTGTCATATTTCTGGCTGATAAAAGGGGGTATGATCACTGGACACTTCATAGTAGAATGCTAAAGACAACTGGAAAAAATATACAAAGTCCTTGAAAAAATTCAGCAACCATGACATGACAACCACATAATAACTAATATACAGAAAACTATTTAACAATGAGATTTCTAATCCATTTGACAATCCAGATGTCTTCTAAAATATACCTAAGCCAACTATAGTCCCAGGGATCAGAATCAATTTTTCTATGTGGACTTAAACGATAGTTTAAAAAGCTCTCCCATTATATATCAAGGACACTAATGATTTCCTAATTAGAAGATTTACTTCAAATAAACATCATCAAAACAACAATATTATACTTGTTAAGTGGATATCGCATTTCTTTAGGTCAGAAACATACAACTTTTTCCGAGCCAAGGGCTGAACTTACCTTCAAAAACCATCTTGGCAGTGTGCTCCTAATGCTGCATGAGGACAGAATAAAGAAATCATAGAGCCAGGACCAAAATGAAACTTAATTGAATTTCGATGTCATTAAAATTAAATTAGTTAAATACAGTTTATGTAATTACTCCCCCTGTATTTAATAACTTCTCCTTCCTGCCATATGAAAAATTACACTTTCAAAGCAATATTTCAGTGGTCTCTGAGATCCTCAATTTTGTAGCAATACTTTAATGGGCTCTTAGCTCAACAAGCAAAACATGGGAGAAAGGGGCAGGCGGCCTTGGGGCCCCACATCAAGGTTCCCAGTTTTACAGTAACATATTGCAGTGCACAGTTCTGGGATTCGGGATTTAAATGAGTTTTGCCATGCCAACATGTGTAAGGTTCCTTCTTTGACTTTCTGCCAATTTAGCAATGCTAGTTGCTATGTAGCTATGGATGCAAAGAGACACTTAGCACCACGGGCCTCCACCTGGAGGAACATATCTGACATCACTCTTCTACAACAAACAGCACACTTTGGAATTTTCCATCCTAGATGATTCTATAACTGCCATCTTGGCTGCTGCGTCCTATTTCCAGGCAGCTGAAGGTGGTGGAAGCTGACGTAGTTTGCTCTGTAATAACTATTTTTTGTTGTGCTATTCTCGCTTACAAATGCATGTTGTTCTAGTCAGGGTCAAGCAAATGCTTTCAGCTTGGGAGCCACAGAAATATGGTAGCATCGTTGGTCTACTTTTTGGAGCAGATTTGGGGAACTTGCAGGGAGGGGTTAAGGATGGGAATGAGATTGTTTGGGGAAAGTGAGGCCTTGCCATTCCATTCCATCTTTTACTTCAGAATTTTTGAGCAGAATATCACACTGTCACTAAAACTTGATAACATGACCTTGGGGCAGGGGTACAAACAGGGCCCGAAGGGACCTCCTGCAGCCATATTCTATTGTTTGCCCATCCTAGTTTATATAATGAAACTAGAGTCCATCTTTATGGGATACAGAATCAATTTACCAGAAGTATTGTTTGATGCTGCAAAATGTTTCTCTCATGGGCATACCTAAACCACACTCTCTCACATACACACACACACTTCCTGTCTATCTGTCCATCCATCTGTCACTATATCAGAGCCATGTATAAATGGCTTCTCAAAATTCTCCTTTCTGTTTGTGGCAGAGAAACATAGGTCATCATGAAGAGACATTATTTTATCATTTTTTGTGAGTGGGAAGAAAAACTCTCCTCTATTTAAACTCTTAGTGTATGACAGTAGCACCCTTTTTTTCACTTCTTTCAAGATCAATTTTCTTGAATTATAAATGGCAACAGCAGCATCTGTCTTGGCAGTCTGTCCACCATTTTGTATTGTCCACAAAGACTTAATCCCAGGCTAACAATGTCTCTTCAAGGCATTGCAGGGAAGAAAAGACAGCCGCCACAAAATAAATAAGCTACTGTAAGTAAGTAAACATTCAATGTTCAAAGAAAATTATGCAGAGTGGCTGTCATTTTCTGAAGGAGTGAGAAAAATCTTAGCAATGCTATTGGGAAAAATATATTCTGATGGCTCAGCTTATGTATTTATCCATGCATGCATCTCACATTTACCATAATTATATTATGCCACTTTTTGTTAAGAATTGTATTACTCAGTTAAGCCTTTATACTGATTGCATCTTCTCCTTCTCCTCCTTCTTCATTAGATTATGGCATCATCAAATGAAGAACTTAATTCTGACAATAGCTTTTCATCCCTGACTGGGACAGGAAATGAAAGTACCACCTTGGCAACTGATGGACCTTCAGACTCAAGGTGTCCCATCTGCTTGGAAAGAATACGGAATGTGGCCTTCTTAAATCCCTGTTTCCATAGATTTTGTTTTGCCTGTATCCTAGAGTGGTCAGACAGGAAAGCAGAGTGCCCACTCTGCAAACAACGTTTCCACTCTTTCTTTCATTCTATAAGATCTGACACAGACTTTGAAGAATACATTATCACTTTTGAAAATGCATCCTTTGGCATGTGTGGGGAGAGGTCAGCAATTGATCAAAGACCTGAGTCACTACCAGATAATGGGATCTTGTATGAAGGATACTCAGGTCCCCAATCACTAGGTAGGATGAGAATGCTTGATGAGCTGATGAGACAACTTGGAATAAGGAGGTCATCTCACCCTGGAGGAATATCCCTTGGGCAAATTCGAGAACAGGTTACAATAAAGTTCAGAAGGGCACTATATCAATCAGGAATCCGTGTCAGGAATGTCCAAAGTGGAGGATTTTACAGGGATATATCAGCAGATTTTTTCCACAGGAATCCTGTCCGTCTTAACAGGTTAGTGCCTTGGTTGAAGCGTGAGCTGCGAGTACTGTGTGGGACACATGCATCATTGATCAACATCATACAGGATAACATTCTAAATAACATAACCATTTATGATCTGGACAGTCAAGCATTTGCTAATATAATGCAGCCTCATTTACTCCATTACACCAATCACTTCTTGCATGAATTCATAAATTTTGCCCGTTCCCCTTTCAACATTAAGGCTTATGACTGGCGAGCCAGTTATGATGTTCCCTTTCCTATGCATGATGATGGGTTCCAGTCCTATTCATCTTTTACTACATCTTCTTCAGAAGATGAGGAGGAAGAAGAAGAATCGGAAGACTCAGATGAGAATGAGGGGGAAGATGGAGAATCAATGTCAAGTAATGAGGAAGGAACTTGGGATGATGAAATCCAACAATCAACTAGTTCCAGTTCAGACCAGATTCTGGATGATTTTTTTCTTCCTTTTGGATCTTCTGATGGGGAACTTGTAAGAAGTGAAGACAATATGCATGTATTTTTCCATGCTGATGCACATTTAAGTACCCACAACAGACATTGTCCAGTACACAAATGTGTTCTGAATCAAATAGAAGAAAGTACCTCAATACTAGGTAAATCCATCCCAAGCTGTAAGGAGAGAGCGCAGCCCAATATTGCTGAGGAGGAGGGGGAGGAAGATGATGATAATGACGACAACGATGAAGAAGAACCAGCACATAAGCAAGAAGCCTTAAGAAGTCTTGCTTGTGTTGATGGCACCTCTAGTGGTGCAGGTATGGCTATACTTAATGTTGGCCAGGTTGTTAGCAGTAACCATATGTTGAACACTCTGCAGCTTCCATCCCAAGAGCAAGAAGAAGATGGCATGGATCAGACCTCATTGCAACAACAAGATGTCGTTAGTACAAAAGTAATCCATCACAAAGGAGAGGAGATTATTGTTATTGAGATGCTCCAGCCCAAAACAGAAGACATTTTAGTTATTGAACACATAGAACTGAAAACAAGAGAACTGGATGATTCTGGTCAATTGCCATGGCAAGGTGAGGAAATGGCTAAATCTACAGAACTGCAGTCTTCTACAGAAACCCCTCCAAGTGGTTCTGCTACCAAGTGGGATACTGGATGTTTTTCATGTATTAGAAGACCGTGATTTGCACAGCAAAAAATTCAGCCCAATAGCCCACAAGGGAACTTGTGAACTAGTTCTCTAACTGAGGTTTTTCATGTTATGCTCATTCCAATAAATTCATATAAATGAAAAAAATGTGTTTAATGTATAATGGCCAAAACCTGGTAAAAACTTAAGAAAAAACACTGATAGTAATCAAAGGCCCATTGTACAACATTGTATGACTCAAATGTTATAAAGAAAAATGTACAGGGGCATGAAATCTAACATGTTCTAAAAAATTCTTGAAGGATTTTTGAAGCCATGGTTGTATGACAGTTTTTTAAATTGAAAGTGGTGCTGCTTACATACTTCGTACAGTGCTAGATCATTCTTTGACAGCAGAGAACAGCTTTTTGGAGATGCTTTATGAACCCTGTATAAATAATTTCTATGAAATATCTGTATATATATTTTCATTAAAGCTAGACTATCACTTTCCCTCTGTTTTGTGTGGGTTCATCAGAAACTGGACTGCACAGAAAGAGCAACTCAAATGGTACAAACTAATCTATTCCATTGTAGATTAAACTAGAGTTAACATGTTCCCGGCTAAATTTAGACTCCTTTTGAATTCATGATTCTTTTCTCACATGCTGAATGAGACACCAAGGGAAATTAATGAGTACACAGGGAGTACTCATATAGCTATTTAACCAATTATCTTTAAACTAAATTACTTGTTTATCTTGCCCCACTTATTTTACTGAGTACTCCTCACTGTGTTACCCCAAAGTCAAGTGTAGTCTTGGCCCAAACAGTATGATGCACCCTTGACATAGAATCATATACCTTGATTTGCACTGATATGTACAAATCCTTTGCAGACCTCCTTGCTATATGCAGGGAGATCCGGGTAGTTAAGAGTAGGGTTTAAAGATGCATGGGTAGAATCAGGTTGCATGGTCCCATTTACCTGTCTAGTTTAGCCCTTATACATTTACTAGACACATGCAAAGGGCTTTATAGTTCTAGCAATATGTTCTCCACTGCAGCTTGAAAAGAGTTTCTTCAGTCTAGGGCAGTGTTGTCCAAACGTGGCCACTTTAAGATGAGTGGACTTCAACTCCCAGAATTC